AATGCCGCTCACAACAAATAGAAAACAAAAAAAATATTCAAAGACCCCATTCTAACGTTTTATTTTTGGTGAAAAAAATTCCGTATTAAAAAATTCACAGAATCCAGGTCTGGGGATTTGTTTTTCGAAAAAATCATTTATGAAGTTAAGCACTCTAGACCTCTAGAAGAAGACCTTTGGCTATGCCAAATTAGCCAAAGTTAGGCTTGTTATGCCAAAGTCAAAAATCAGACTAGCGATCCCTACAATGCAGCCATTTTAATTAAATGGCAGAAAAAACTGAGCTCAGAATTAAAAGTGGCTATTTTTGGGCTTCAACATGTAACACGAATCGCATTTATTCTGTTTCGACCTTTATAGTTTTCTTATGGATAGCCATTTCACAATAAGTAGCGTTGCCACTTGTCAAATTAACATTTTATATGGCAATCCTCAACTGTCAAATTGTCGATTTTCAGTTACTAAAATGGTGATTCATCAGCAACCATTTATTTGCAATTGTTGCAAACATTTTTGAAGTATTTAAAATTAATATTATGTGAACCCTGTTTACGGCAAATTAAAGGATCACCCTTAAGGCAAGGGTTGTATTTTAGACAAATTTTACAATAGATCGATTGGGAAATAATAAAAAAATGCATTGCGCCAGGCCTATAACTAATACCAAAGTCAAAAATCGGACTACCGATCCCTTCAATGCCGCCATTTCAATTAAATGACGGAGAAAATTGGTCTCAGAGTTAAAATTGGCTATTTTAGAGCATGTAGCGTATTAATTATGTTTCGACCTTCACTTATCAATAGCCATTTCACAATAAGTGGTGTTGCCACTTGTCAAAATTACATTATGTATGGCAATCCTTAAGTTGTCAATTTCAGGTGCAAAAACATTGATTGTGAATATTTTCAAAGAAATAAAACCGGAAATTAAAGGATCTCCCTTAAGGCAAGGTTTGTATTTACGTCAAATTTTATAAAAGAGCGATTTGCAAGTAAAGACAATCTTTTGTATTGCTAGTTATACCAAAGTCAAAAATCAGACTAGCGCTCCCTACAATGCCGCCATGTAAACTATATAGCAGAGAAAAGCTGTGGCATTGCCACTTGTCAAAATAACATTAAAGATCGATTTGCAAGTAAACATTTTTTTGTAATGTGGCAACCATTGCTACTTACGCCAAGGTCAAAAATCAGACTAGCCATCCCTACAATGTCGCCATTTAAATTAAATGACGTAGAAAACTGGTCTAAAAGTTAAAATTGACTATTTTGCACGACAACACGACCTTTTCTCTATAAGTGGTGCTGCCACTTGTCAAAATAACGTTATGTATGGCAATCGTTAAATGTAAAAATATCAATTTCAGCAACCAATTATTTGCAGTTGTTGCGAAAAATTTTGAATTATTAAAAGTAATTTTATGGCGACACTGTTTGCGTCATATTTAAGGATCACCCTCAATGCAAGGGTTGTATTTCCGACACATTTACCAATGATTGATGCGGATCGCTTCACAGGAGCATACATTAACCCAAATGAAAATTGTTTCTATCACTCTACAATCAGGGACAAGCCGAGTTCAATGAATTTGTTACGATTCTTAACTTAATGGGGGTAGCCGCATCGACACATCTGCTGGCAGAATGAACTGTCACCAATTTTAGATTCAAAATTTTGAATGAAAATTTAATCAAATTTGTTGAAAAATTCATGTCACAACAACCTCCGAATAACGTCGTATAAGAAAACATATACAAATCGACTTTTTTTCAACAATCTTTTTTTATTCAATTTTTGATATTCCAATGTTCCCGAGCATTAAAAGTAAAAGTTGACAACGTAAATTACAGAAAATGCAGAGATGGGTATGCTTATTTAAAATGACTTTACCTTCTTAATTTTACCATGATTTGTACGTGGAAAATTAAAATCATTCAACCCTAACCCTAAAATTCTTTAATTCTAAAATTCCTCCCTTCCTTCTAACCAACCAGCCAAGAACGATCTAGTTCACCCTAAATTTCTTTGGAAAAAGCAGTTAATGATTTTTCGTTTGTTATTACCACCATTATTTTAATTAATATTTTTATTATTATTAATACTGTCATTATTATTATTATTGTTATTTGTATTATTAATATAGATAATATTATTACTATTATCAATTTTATCATTATTATTATAATTTCCATCATTATCGCTATTATTTTCATTCTGTTTACTACTTTAGTCAGCACAATCGACCAGCCGAAAGTCGACCTAGGTCAGCCTACATTTCCAGTGAATGACTCCTTCCTTACAATAAACCAGCCAAAAACGACCTGGGTCATCCTACATTCATTGGTAAAAGCCAAATAATGACTCTCTTCTCTATTATTTCTTTTATTATTGTTGATTTTTATTTTTATTTATATAATTGATGATGATGATGATGATTATTATTATTATTATTATTATTATTATTATTATTATTATTATTATTATTATTATTATTATTATTATTATTATTATTATTATTATTATTATTATTATTATTATTATTATTATTATTATTATTATTATTATTATTATTATTATTATTATTATTATTATTATTATTATTATATTATTATTATTATATTATTATTATTATTATTATTATTATTATTATATTATTATTATTATTATTATTATTATTATTATTATTATTATTATTATTATTATTATTATTATTATTATTATTATATTATTATTATTATTATTATTATTATATTATTATTATTATTATTATTATTATTATTATTATTATTATATTATTATTATTATTATTATTATTATTATTATTATTATTATTATTATTATTATTATTATTATTATTATTATTATTATTATTATTATTATTATTATTATTATTATTATTATTATTATTATTATTATTATTATTATTATTATTATTATTATTATTATTATTATTATTATTATTATTATTATTATTATTATTATTATTATTATTATTATTATTATTATTATTATTATTATTATTATTATTATTATTATTATTATTATTATTATTATTATTATTATTATTATTATTATTATTATTATTATTATTATTATTATTATTATTATTATTATTATTATTATTATTATTATTATTATTATTATTATTATTATTATCATTATTATTATAATTTTCATCATTATCACTATTATTGCTATTATTATTTTCATTCTGTTTACTCCTTTAGTCAGCACAACCAACCAGCCAAAAGTCGGTCTAGGTCACCCTACATTTCTTGGCAAATAAATAGAAGGTTTTTTTACTTGCTTCTTCGTAACAAAACAAAGAAATTTTAGCTTGACTTACTTCAATTTCGACCCATCATTTATATTTGTTCACCTGCTTCTTTTTTATTTTACAAAGAAGCCAGTCGACGATTGAATCCAGCCAAAATAACGTTGTATGTATTCCATCCGTTATATTTGCCCTTTAATTAGTGCAAACAATAATCGGCCTAGGCCACCCTACATTTTCTGTGAATGACTCTTTCCTCCCAACAAACCAGCCAAAAACGACCTAGGTCACCCTATATTCATAACCAAAAGTCAGCGAATGACTACTTTCTCTATTATTTCTTAAATTATTATTAATTATTGTTGCTATTATTTATATAATTAATATGCCTAGTATTATTATCAAAGAAGCCAGCCGACGACTTAATCCAACCAAAATACTGTTTTATGTATACCTTCCTTTATATTTGGCCTTTAAATAGTGCAAACAATAATCGGCCTAGGCCACCCTACATTTCTAGTGAAGGTCTCCTTCCTTCCAACAAACCAGCCAAAAACGATCTGGTTCACCCTACATTCATTAGCATGACTTCCTTCATTCATTGGCTTTTGCTAATGAATGTAGAGTGAACCAGGGCGTTTTTGACTGGTTTGTTGGAAGGAAGGAGTCATTCATTAGAAATGTAGGGTGACCTAGGGCGATTGTTGTCACACACCTTTAGTGTTATAAATATCTATGGCGTATAAATCCTATTATTTTAGTTTTCCAATTAAAACTCCTCTCTCCGGCCGCAAATGGAACAGGAACATCTCCTGGTTTCTACTTCCCATTGCGCATTGTGGATTTTTTTCTGTTTCCCGTTTTTCGAACAGAAAAAAAGAAACAATTGTTTGCAAACAAATCGAACAGCCTTGATGTGATGCGATGCGATGTCGATGCCTAGGATAATGGCTTCTTGAAAATGTTACTGACAAATCAATTGCTGAACAAACAAACCACTTTACTTGGCTTCTTTGCAAGCTGGCTTTGCCAGGCTCTTGCTTTCCATTCTCCCTTGACGCCCCTCCCCCTCACTTAACAAGTCAAATACAGAGGCACACTAGGAGGACACTTAAATCTAAAGCTGAGTGGTAACAATTCGATTGACTTGAATGCTAATCATTATCAACAGTACGTACACCTCTCCCAGCCACCATCAGGCGTGGGGGAGGTTGCCCAACGTCAGAACCAGCCGCCGTATGTTTCGAAATGTAAACACACAGTCGTTGTCATTGTCATTCTTGGCATCATCATTGTCACGACCATCACCACCATCATCCTCATCATCATGGTCGTCGTCAGGAACAGCCATAGCGCGTTTTATGTGACGGAATTTCGCTTTAGTGCTTGAAGTACAAAACTGTGTCTTTGTCAAATGGTTTTAGGAACTGAGAGTTGTTTTAGGAAAATTGAAAACAGAAAAAAAAAGTTGAGGAGAAGCAGTCAATTCTTCGAAGTTTAGGGGGGTTTAAATGCTGCGGCCCATGATGCGTATGACTAACGACAACACTTATACGTCAACCAAGCCAAAAATAAATATTTGCTTTTTTAACAGAAAACCGAATTCTAGGGGACTAAAATTCCATTTTTTCTATAACAAAAAATTCGGAAGACCCTTAGGGTCTTTTTTGGGACAAAAAAAATAATTCCATTAAAAATACTAACCTCACTTTTTTACCTTTCCAGGTTATGGCAACATTGCGCCTCGCACCACCCTGGGCCGTTTGGTTACCCTGGCCTATGCATTTTTCGGCATACCCCTGACCCTGGTGTATCTCTCCAGCACGGGTGGCATTCTGGCCAAGGTGGCCCGCGAAGTATTCTCCAAGGCGTTGTGCTGCTGCCTATGCTCCAACTGTGGCTACTGTTGTTACGACGAAAAGCGTATGGCCGAAAAGGAGAGGCGTATGAAACGCAAACGCCAACAGGAAGAGTTGCGCAAACAACAACAAGCTCTGCAGGAACCCTACTACGTACGCTCCGGTTCAATGCCGGACACGTTTCAGACGCCGGAAAAACAATCGCTCGGTCAGAGCAGCATACAAATGCCCGATCTCGATTCGCTGAGTGCCAGTGAGTCGCGTGGCAGCATGCATGGCCTGGCCATCTTGGCACCCATACTCCTCTGCTTTTGCATGATGATAATCTACATCTTGTTCGGAGCCGTGGTTCTCTATCGCCTCGAGGATTGGCCCCTCTTGGATGGCATATATTTTTGTTTCATGAGTTTATCCACCATTGGTTTCGGCGATATGATGCCAGGCTTTCGTCGTGATTCCAATACCACAATATGGTTCTGTTCCATATACATTATGTCCGGCATGGCCCTGACGGCCATGTGTTTCAATGTCATACACGAAGAGATTGTGAATCGCATTAAATTTGTGGTGGAATTTAAGAAGACATCGAATCTGGATACAACGAATGATGAGCCGACCAGCTATTATATGCCACCTTGACAGCCATACAACGAGAAGAAGCAGAACTTGTATCAACGAAATCCCACCGAAGAGACTTTGGTAACGGGTGAGTAAAGAGTTAGGTGGGAAATCAGAACAAAAATGAATAAAAATTCGTTTCACAAAAACGCTAAATTGGCCACATTGTACCTCAAGATCAAAATTTTAGTTCAATTTTAAATTAGCTGATTTTTAAATGTCATATTAGCCACACTGAAAAAAAAACCAAAAAAATTAATAAAAATATGTTTTTGGAAAAACGCTACATTGGCCTCATCGGACCCCAAGATCAGAATTTTAGTTCAATTTTACATTAGCTGATTTTTAAATGTCATATTAGCCACACTGAAAGAAAAATTAATAAAAATACTTTTTTGGAAAAACGCTACATTGGCTTCATTGAACCTCAAGATCAGAATTTTAGTTCAATTTTACATTAGCTGATTTTTTAACGCCACATTAGCCACACTGTATAAACAAAGGTAGCCTCATCATGTTTCAAAACGCTACATTAGCCACATTGTACCTCAAGATTAGATTTTTAGTCCAAATTTATTTTAGTTGATTTTTTAAACGCCCCATTAGCCACACTGCATGTTTATAAAGAAAATCTCATCATGTTTGAAAACGCTTGATTAGCCACATTGGCACTCAGTATCAACCTTTTACGTGCAATTTTATATTATCGCTTATTTAAACGCTGCATTAGCCACTCCACAAAAGAAAATGCAACTCTGGTTTCAGAGATGTTCAGACTTGACACATTGTTAATTTGGCGTTTTTTTCGAAAATGTGTATAAATTTCATTTTAAAACGCTACATTGACCACATTGTACCTTGAGATCCAATTTTTAGAAGTTAGCTGATATTTTAAACGTCACATTAGCCACACTTTATAAACAAAGACAATCCCATCACATTTGAAAACGCTACATTAGCCACATTGAAACTCAGTATCACCATTTTACGCAAAATTTTATATTATCGCTTATTTAAACGCTGAATTAGCCACTCCACAAAAGAAAATGCAACTCTGACTTCAGAGATGTTTAAATTTGAGACTTTTTTAATTTGGGGTTTTTTTAAACGCTACATTAGCGAGACAATACGAATGAATACAACTCTGCCTTAAGGGGTGTTCACACATTACACAATTTCAAAATAACGGGTTCTAAATCTCTGCTGTGGCCACACTCAGTTACAAAATACAACCATGTGATGGCATCTCTTAAGGGAGGTTCACATGCTACGAATAAATTGAAGTAAAGGGAGTTTTTTAATAAAAGAGGACGCGGACAGTTTTTTTCCACAGAAATTAATTCGAAAGACCATAGAGTCTTTGTTTCCTAATGTAAGGCAATCCATAGAACCCTATTTTAAACTTTAACGGGATTTTAACCTCTAAAATAGCCGTGGTGAATGAGAAAAAATAAAATGTGATTTCCTAAGGGATGTTCGCACGTAATGAACAATTACTGTTATCGGCCAATTTAAAAATATTTTCTTTAAAATTTTTGAGATATTATTTGCAATTTTATTCTAAAATGTCTCCTTTTTTCCAGGCACACCCACATCACTGGTCTTTGGCACCCACAATGACTCAGATTTGGCGAATATTCACCAATTAAAGGATTATGTTAATCACGAGTTAGTGCCTATTCTGACAATGGATCCAAATGCAACGGCTTCAACATCAACTAATCTACTAAAATCGAATGTAAATTTACCCCTTAATAATTTAACAACCTCAGCATCGTCCTGTGGTGGTGTTGGTGGTGGTTTGGCCACATCTCCGCCTAGTTCTTGTCCTGGGCTCAATAATATGGGTAGTCCTTTGATGGATACCCTCACGCCTACCACACAATCATCGTTGGACTCAAATGGTGGCAACCTCGGCCTCAAAGGGGTCTATACCCTGGCCGAAGAACCTGAGCTGGAGGCCCAGGAGACCCAAATAGATCGTATTTAAAATGTAAAATTATAAACCATTCACCCTAAGGTTGATAGTAAGGAATTTTTTTGTATATAAAAATAAAAATAAAAAAAATATATAAAATTAGAAAAATATCTTTGTTATATTTTAGTTAGAGTTAATGGTAAATTTAGCAATAAATTAAAAAAAAAATAAATTAAAAAAATAAAAAAAAACCGAATATTGTGACTGACAAACTGCAACCTAACATATAAAAAATATAATGAAAAAAAATTATCATCAGTATTCTTAAAGAAAATCTTGAAAAAAAAACTTTTTTTATTGTAAAAATATGAAAGAGTAAAAATCTTATAAAAAAAGTTATTAACTTTTGTACTTTTTATGTTAAGTATTTAGCTAAATGTTTAGATGATGTAATACACACACACACATTCACATACACTCAAATGTAGTTTTAAACATTAATCAATATAAAATTATTTCTAAAATAATGCCCAAAAAAAGAACCCAAACAACAAGAAATAAAAGTATTTCATAGGAAAACAATTAAAAACTACACATAAATTGTTAAAACATTAAAAAAAAAAATTGAAAAAAAACTAATTCTAACAATAAAACAAAAATTTCATAGCAAAAAAAAACGAACAACAAGATGAAGATACAACAAAACACCGTGTAAATGTATAAATAAGGTTATAACAATTTTCAAAAACCCAATAAAAAATTATAAAAGTAAAAAAGGAAAGCATTTTTTATTAGCTCATGGGAAAAAAGAAGAAAAATCAAGCCTTTAAAATTAGCGTTTTTTAACTCTACGAGTGCCATACTGTCATATATATCGCCACAATTGAAACAGTTTCTGGCACTGTGAAAAATATCTGTAGTTTCTATTTTCCCTTTGACATTTGGATTATTTTCAACCTTTTATTGTTAAGTTTTTAAAAGTAACGTTTTTTAACGCTACGAGTGCCATACTTTCATATAAAGCGCCACAATTGCAACACTTCCTGTCACTGTGAAAAATGCCTGTAGTTCCTATGTTCCCTTTGACACTAGGATTCTTTTCCACTTCTTCTTTTCAAGCTTTAACAATTAATGTTTTTTTTTTTGAACGCTGCGATTGCCATACTTTCATTTTAGGCGCCAACAATTGCAACACTTTCTGGCACTGTGAAAAATTGCTGTAGTTTCTATCTGTTCTTTGATAGCTACATTAGTTTCTGCCTTTGCTTTAGTTAAACTCCCAACTCTGAGTGATGATAGAGTTTCGTAGATCGCAAACGACACTTTGGTTTCAAGGAAATGGCGCGGAAATTTGTGAGTTGTTTTCGATCTATAAAGCCCTATGACCAATTTCTTTATTAGTGGATTGCGCCCGCCTCTTGAGGAGGCCTTATACCACCGCAATTGGTTTCAAGGGCCAAATCGTGAATTTGACTTCATAATAATACGACTACTCCATACGCAAGTATAACAACTGGTCCATAACAGACAAGGACTAGTCCAAATCAAAACCCAATGCATTAAAAAACCTAACCGATTTAACAATACGATGTTCTAGGATTGGATTTTAAAATTTGGCGCGCGATTTATGTTCTAGTTATAGGGCGGTTTCTGGCCTTTTTTAGGTATCTTTGGAATAGAAAGAATTTATAAACTTCGGCATAGTTGAGGCCTTCAAAAGATTTCTGTTTGATAGATATTCTCCTGATATCCCCGCTCACAATGTCTAGAAAAATCAAATATGTTTACAGTGATTATCTCTTGGCACAGGCCGACAAGAATCCAGCCGTCAAAGGAAGGGTAAGAATTGAACTTCCTTAGTTTGGAATTATTTAACTAGGTTTTCTGGAAACCCCTATTCTTTTTCCAGATTTCCCTCTTCAATTCTCTTCACTTTGATACCCTATTGATAGGAACAGTTTCCAGTATATCTTGAACTAAATATGATCCCCATTCCAGGCTTCTTTAACCCACAACCTCATCAAGTCCTATGGTCTTCTATCACACATGGAACGAATAAGGCCCGTTGTGGCCAATTCTGGTGACCTCAAGGCTTTTCACAATGCTGACTATGTAAAGCAGCTGAATCAATATGAAGATTTAAGCAAAGACGAAAATAAATTTCAGGATGATTCCTACACAGATGATGATCATGAAGAAGATTTAGAAGATTGCCTTTTATCGGATTGCCATGGTTTGTGCTATGATTGTCCGCCTTGGCGAGGGGTAAAGGACTATGTTTATGCCATTGCCGGGGCCACAATGACAGCCTGTGATACGGTCTGTAAATCGAAAGATAACAATGATATTGTCATTAATTGGTGTGGTGGTTGGCATCATGCCCAAAAGGGCCGGGCAGCTGGGTTCTGTTATGTCAATGATATTGTTTTGGGTATTCTAGTGTTGACCACAAAATTTCGCCGGATACTCTATGTGGATTTGGATAATCATCATGGTAGGATGTTGTAATATTTTTTTTATTATGTTTGTGCCTTATTAATTTCCTATTTTTAGGAGATGGCGTTGAAGAAGCCTTTGCCTCTACACGCCGTGTATTTTGTCTGTCCTTTCATCAAATGGAATGTGGTTATTACCCAGGTAGTGGTAGTTGCAAGGACATGGGTCGGGACAATGGCTTGGGCTATACTGTCAATTTTCCCTATAAAAGAGGAATTACGGGCGCAAAATACAAGAAATATTTTAAGAGGTTCTTTAAAGATCCGTATTTTAGAGAATATATTTTTTGAAATCTCCATCCTTTTCGCCTAGAGTCTTCTCTGCCGTGTACAAGGCCTTCAAACCAAATGTCTGTGTTGTCCAATGCGGTGCGGATGTTATAGTGGGCGATCCTTTGGGTGGCTCGAATTTGATACCACAAGATTTAATGGAATGCATTAGAGTTATATTAGACTATCCCGTACCCTGTGTATTCTTGGGTGGAGGAGGTTATAATTTGGCCAATTCTAGTCGGTATTGGTGCCAACTAACAGCTGCTTTATGCGATGAAGTGCTTGAAGATGATGTCCCTAGCGATAATGAAAATTTCCTTAAATATGGACCATATTATAGTTTAAGTATCACAGCAATGTCAACATTAAGAGATGAAAACTGTGAAGATGATTTGGAGCAACAATGTAGAACGATAGAAGGTAGGATCTACTTAACCGTATTCAAGTGGAGTCATGTTAGATACCCTTTTTTCTTTTAGAACATTTGGTATCGTATCAAACTCATGCGATTTAGAAGCAAGATAAGGTTATTGTTTGGCCTCAGATTGGAAGGTATGGAAATAAGCTACACCTCCACCTTTTGAATAAAAAAAGCTCTAACATATAAAGACTGCCGGTGAATGCATCTTATCTGTTTTATTCCCGTATCCTCAAACCCAATGGAACTCACATGGAAATTTCAATGCAGAAAGAAAAAAATTGAATGGAACTTCTTCCATCTTTAGTTTTATGTAGCTATTTATTTTACTTCTTATTTATTGAACTGATAATTACGACTGATCGTTCGGTCGGTCATCTAGAAAAAAATAATTAAAATCTTAAAGAAAATAATGTCAGGTTCATTTTTACAAAATCTGTATGTTTGTAATTGTATTTTAAATGTTATAAAGATTGAATACACTGTAACTTGAATTGTTGAATCCTTGTCTTTCACCCTACTCCCCTTAACGTCCCGCTGCCGCTTTAAAACGTTTGCTCGGCGATGCTCCACCCAATTCTGGCTTAACACGTGTGGGCGACAATAAACTATTAGCTCCCATGCCAGGATTTGTTGCAGAATTTTGTACTGGGTCTTGTAGCCACCTAACTTGTGTGGCGGGACCATAACCCTTTTCATTGCGTGCCGCAATACGAAATATAATAGCCGGTTTATTGGAACAATCTACATGGGCTGCTGACAAAGAGTTATGCGATACCGTACATTGATTAGCTGCCCCCACATAGACTCGTACAAATGCCAATTGTGCTGGAGCTCTTTGTCCCGCCTTGGCCTCTTTCTCTTTGCCCGGCTTGACAGCCAAATATACCGAATATTCAACAATTTCATTGGAACTAACACAGCTTGGTGGTGGCTCCCAGGTAAGATGAGCTCCCTCCGAAGACTTGGATATCTTAATGGCCGATGGCGCTCCCGGGAAGCCGGGTAGGCATGTTTTAAAACTAGATATTTCACTCCAATCACTGGCCCCCACCGAATTTAAGGCTCTAATGCGAAAACGATATGCCGTTCCGGGTTCAAGATTAATGCGTTCATATTGTGTTAAATCGGGTATTTCATCGGAATTGAGATGCATACCAGCCGAAGTCCATACAGTGTTATCAATGTAATTGGTCACCGTGGTGGATAGATTTTGAAATATGCCCACAGTATGCCATTTGGCATCCTCCTCATCAATGGGTGGAGGTGGTGGTTGTGAATTAGGGGCTTGTGTGGTGGAGGGCGTTGTTGGCTGGGAGGTTGCAGGTTTTTGTGGTGTGACCTCTGTTCCTGATTGCGCTTGACCGGATGCTGTTGAATCTATCGACGAGGTTTGTGAGGATGTTAATGCAGAACTTGTCGATATCAAGGGTGCGGCCTCTGCTCCCGCAATTGAGGCCAATGTGGCCAAATTATCATGCCCAGCATCCATATCCACCGGTAAGTGATTTGAGCCAGCATTATCCCCAGCCTGGTGATGATTCAGTGCATCATTACTGGCATTCATTTGGGATTGCAATAAATTTTGTTGGCCCTCACCATGATTTTCCATAGCACCTATAATTACAAACAAACAAAAACTTCAATGAGACCAGTTTTCACACAGAATAGAAAACGCAACAATACCGTGAGCTGCCTCTGCACTATTCATGGGCTCTTCATCCGTATCCATTGGTGTTGATTGTTCGCCACTTTTACTGCCCATTTGCTGATGATCTGTTGCTTCACTTTCCATTTTTGGAAAAAGCAAGAAAAGAACACAAATGTGTGTTTAATATAATTAAAAAAACCTTAGTAAATTTGTTTACAGTCGCCACAAAATTCACAAGCTTATGTCTTGGCCAATTATGAGACACCCTGTTATGTGTGATGTATACTTTGGGTACGTTTTCAATCAACTGTTATTTGTATTGGATTACACACAGTAATGACAAGTGTCACTCACTGTAAAATGTTGCCTTAAAGTGGGTTCAGCTAATATGGTAATGTAAAAAGTAAATTTTTATAAAATGAGATATAATGAATTATATGGTGAAAATTAATAACTGTTTTTGAAAGAGGGCGAAGGAGCTAAGGAAAAAGTATAAAAGTTTTTAAAATCTCTGCGTTTTGGTTATAAATTAAACCAAAATCAAGACGAGGTTTTAGGTCAGATAGGTAGGTTGCGTCATTTATTTGCCAAATAACACACATTTTTGAACACTTCTGTGCCATTTGCCATATAAGAAACAAATAACGATTCTAGTTTATTTATATTATATGAAGCAAGAAAACGTGATACAATGAAATTAAAGAAGGGCATCAATTAAATTGTTTTATTTGCCTCGCTTATCATGTCAAATTTAGTTGTGTATGTGGGTATTATTTCCAATTATACGAAAATGGTATAGAAAGTATTCTAATTCAGTTGTAATCAAAACGAATATTACAACGACTGTAGGGATAAGGGTCCAAGTACATAATAAGCTTGAAGTCATGGCTATGCATATTAATGTCAAATTATAATGAAAACGATGGCAGGGTTTTTTCATGAAATTTCACAAAAAATGGCTAGTCATGACTTCAAGCTTCTTATGTACTTCCACCCTTAGAAAAAAATGTAATCAGCTGGTAGCTCTTCCTTACCTTTTTATTGTACCATGAGTTCAAAATTGTAAAGCTATCGACTGAGGGATATGGAATTCTACGCTGATAATGAATTTGGGTCCTCCAATGAATATTTCAAAGTGTTTCTAATGGACTAACAAAATTAATACATTATTAATTATTTATATCGTTTTCCTTTTTTTTTGTTTCGTTTTTTTTATCCAAATAAAAAATATTATTTCCTCCGTTTCATTTAATAGACACGATATTTTTTCATTTATTGACTTTGAACGACAACAATTGAACCATTTTTTTCTATATGGTATCAAAAAATAGTCCTAAAATCACGAAAATGTTAAATTATATGCTTAAAAAATTGTCTGTAAACGCGCTATAAAACAGCTTGCTTTATGTCATCATTTTTCAGTGATTAGCAAAGACGGGCTATCATTTTCCAGTGATTAAGCAGATGGGGAAAAACATTGGACTTCGACTTCATTTTCTTGCTAATTTTTATCGACCATTCTTTATTGTCTTTTGATTCGTATCTTCGACGATTGCGGTTTAGTGTAGTGAGAGATCGAAATTGAATTAAAAATCGTGCGGAAAAACAAGTAAATCCCGTTAATGTGTTAATTAAACATTAACGATAAAGTTTTCTATTTGCTTGCTCTACACAGATCAACAAAACATAAAGACTTTACACAAGGTAATTGCAATTTAAATGTAAATTTGTGTGTCCCTGTGTTGTGAATGACAATGAAGACAAGATGAAAAATTGACAAATCATCTATCTCAAAAGAAAAGAAAAACAACAAGAAACAAACAAAAACAACAATCAATTAAATGCGGAAATATTAATGAGCACGAACGAACAAACGATTAATTGCCAAAGTGTGTGTTTCGTATTGGGCATTGCAAAAAATGTTTTTTCTGTTGTTTTGTCTAGACATTGCATGAAATATTTTATGCATTTCAAAATATAATTCGTGTCTCATTGCATAAATATAAAAAAAATTAACCGCAACCCAGAGATGTAAGGGGAGAGAGAAAAATGGAAAAAAATTGTGTGTGAAGTGTTACAGAGAGTTTGTTTTGTGGGGAGAGAGAGAGAGACAGAGTGAGAGTTATTGGGAACAAAAATAAAAGTTAAAACATCCCCCTTATTGCACCCACACCCTTATTGTGGTGTGTGCTGTTTGTTTTAGGGGGTTAACAAAAGAATCCAAAGAACACGTTTTCAGTGGTAGAAGCAATACAAGTACAGGGTGAAGCAATATTAATGCCGGAATGGTAAAAATCCCCCAAAAAAGCCACAAAGCTAAGTCATTGCGGGAAAATTTAGAAGAAAGAAAATAAAGAAATGAAGAAGTCAGTGTGAATATGACCTGCATCATTCACGGACATAATGTCATGGGAAATAAGGGACCATATTCCTATAAGGTATATTTTATGTATTATATATTGGTCATAGTAAACATGTTATCTCTTACAGAGTCTCCGATCCCAAGAAGTGGTAATAGTGTAAAGTTAAATTAATGTCTCAAGAATCTAAAGAAAATCCTAAACTTTAAAGTTTCCTAGAATGTAATATCTCTACTTTTCTTTACTTTTAAGAAATCTTCAAGTTTCAAGTTCCTGGAGACTTATTCCTCTGACTTTGTGTAGATGATCCTCAAAAGGAGCTAGTTTAGATCAAATTACGATCATACACAACCTATATGATGGTCTGTAAAATTGTAATAAATTTGGTGCAGGAATAGATGCTGCTCCAACACATATATACAGCCAATATTTTATTATAATATGTGCCTGATTACCATGAGATTTAGCCCATAATTACATGTGTATCCTAGAAGCAATTTCTTAAAATCGCCTGAGATTTAGATGCAGATCCCGATCAAATATTCAAACGATTTTACATTTAAGATGACCTACAGCAAAATATGAGTCCGGTTACCACGATTTTTCTGTTATAGGATAACACATATGTAGCCTAAGAGAAATTTCTGAGGAGATTAAAAAAAAATCTGTTCAGATTTAGTTACAGCTCCCCAACCTAAAATCAACCCATTAGACATTTATGAGTTGGAGTTCGATTATCATCATATTGGGCATGTAATTACTTAATTAGCCTAGGTTATTTCCAAGTTTAATAAAAATCGGTTTATATTTAAATATAGCTTCCCCACAAATGTTCAATGAACGATTTGGTTAATAAGCTACGCTGCTGCTGCTATATGCATCCGATTCCAATGATATTTGGTATGGTGCATTCTATATTTCCTAGCATTAACTTTACCAAGTCTTTAGCGAATCGGTTCAGTTCAAGATATAGTTTCAATATATATGCCGAATCCGATTTCACATGTATGCATAACTAGAGCTGTTACAAGCATTCGCTATCAACGTTAATTTCCATGGAACATTGTATATGGGCTGAGAATACATTGGAGAAATTTTGCGGTTAAGATTTTGATGCAGATCCCAAGAATATATTTCGCCAGATTCCCTGTTTATGAAGATTAAACCATATAAATATTATAATATTCATTTGAATTCATAATTGAAGCCCTCTTTTCAATATCCAAACTGGTGTGTCTGTCTTTGTAATATGACCCCTATACTTATTTAAACTTAGTCACAGTGTTTTGTTTACCTTTCAATCTCTCTCTCTCTCTCTTTTGTATTTGTGTTCACTCTCGCTCTCTGCAAAAGAAAATTGAAAACCGCATTACTCAATAATAGCCTAGAAAACTGAAAAACTTTTGAGTAGAATAATAACAATAGCAACAACATGACATAAAACCATTGGAAACGTGTGTGGTTTCTTGTCATTGGTTGGTTCAGCTGGTATCGCATGTTTAATTTTCCCTCGCAACTTTTTTTCACAAAAAAAAGTAAAATTAACAAAAAATTTTCACAACAAATGGTTAATTAAATTTTAAAGGAAGAGGAAAGTCAGGTAATAAATTAATAAAATTGATAATGAAAATTTAATACACTTTCCTTTTGTTATTACAGCATAGCACAGATAAACATTATTCGTCTTTGGGATTAGACTTTGATTGTGCCACACACACACACATGCGCTGGGCACACTCGTCAACATCCAAGAAGAATACCTACTTGACATTTGTTTAATCTTTAAATAGTTTGGCCAAACAAACTCAGACCGGTACAAAAGGCAGACAAATAAAAAGCGATAGCACTTATCTTTTCTTCAATTTGCCTGCTGCAGTAGTCCATATAGAGTAGATTAAATGCTTTTTTTGTCTTTCGTTACCATTTCATTTATTTACCTACACGGCATTCTGTTCAATTCCCCTATGTAGGTCATTAACCATTTGGCAGGGTTGTTTTTGTTTTATTTAATTTGTTTCTTTTCAAAATTAGTATAGGTTCTGGCCGGCCTTTGGTCGAAGACATACGTAGAAAAATTAATAAAAGCAGTGTGTCTACCTAATACTATCAGTGAGGAACATAGTTGGGTTTATAGATAATTTAATGCAATCAAATTTTGGTCCAAATAATGGTGAGTGTTCGAATATCGACTTAAATTGTTTTTATCTTTAATTTTTAATTATTTCCAGGGGCGTTGTGTAAATCAAAACAGATGTTTAGAGTCAGCTGTTTTTAAAAAATGGGGTGATTTTTTCTGAAACCCTTAATTTGGTATTCCATTGGTGGGGAATAGAAGAACAGAAAGTGAATAAAAACACGAGATTTTACTACTTTCCAAGATATAGGACTTTTTGAAAAACTTTTCACAACATTGGGTTGGGTTGTGACCTCTTTAAAAATCAGACTAAAATTCTGGACATTGTTTGGATCCACATTCGTGCCAAGCTTTTTACCCACAAATAAGGTCCCCCATAAAATGGAGGGTATATTAAATTTGTTACATCATTTGCAATAACGTTTTTCGGGCTTCACTTCTTGATAGATAACCAGCTGCTAAGGTTGTGAGCTGTTTTAAAATCAGACTCAAATAGTGAATTTTGTTTGAATTCAACTTCATGTTAAGCTTTTAACCTACAAAAAAAAAAAAAATCCAACATAAAATTGAGGCTATTTAAATTTGTTACATCATTCGAAATACCTCGCTGGGGGCTTCGCTTCCTTATAGATCAACAGCTGCTAAGGTTGTGACCTGTTTAAAAAAAAAGGTACAGTTTTGGTCTCAATTTGCAACCAAATCAGCAGTAATTTAATAATTTGGGTTTTCATAGGGTAGATTAACTCTTCCTAGATTAAAAAATCAATGTAGAACCATGTTTTGATAGAGCCTTCATATGACGATA